CCTTCCTCTAAGCCCAAACACCCCTCCACTGTCGCTGCCTCTTACGTTTGCAGTTAAGCTGTTGTCCTAATAAAAAATGGCTCCCCTTGGCAATGACTGCTAGATACAAAGAGATTTTAAATGTCAGTTGTCCAAAAAAAATCTTTTCTAAGAGATAGTTCACCACTACTCTCCTCAATGAGTTTGGAAAATTATAGCTGCTTTTGTAATATAAGGCCACTCACTCAACCCAAAGCCCAACCTGCTTCAGACACAGGAAGATAAAAGAAATGAACCATTTTTTTTCTCTTATACCTTTAAATTGCAGAAACTTCACAGATTTGCCTGAAAAAAAATATTTAAGTAAGAAATCATCATGGCAATGATTAGTCTTAGCCATTAGGAGCAATTTATTTCTGTACTTCACAGGTCTAACTTCTTACTTGGATGGTGGTTTGCTAAGCCTTAAAAGGTCATTTTTTCGAGACCAACTGCAAATAGAGCTCTTATTACAATGAAGTATGCAAAGTATGGGAGATCTGCAGGTCTATTAGCATGTAACATGTACCACAAATGTGGGAGAAAAGTTTCAGTTAAATATGTTCCCATCAGCTTTCTCTCATTCTCATCTTTTGTTCAAATCTATCACTTGCAGTGGCTCCATTGGTCTCTTTCAGCGTCTAATGGGCACTGCTCACTTTGACCTCCAGGGAGTGCTTTACGAATGCTATCCACTCAAGGTCACCGAAATGTCACTTTGTGTGGCTCTTCCAGTATTATTTTTATAATTGACTCCATAAAGCCTTCATCCTGAACACTGTAACAATGGTCAGACTACCCCAAGTCCAAAGGTCAACAGGAGATACTAAAAGAATGACATAAGATACAATTTTATTCTTTCTCCCTTGAGAGTTTACAAATGGAGCTGTTGGTTAATGAGGCAATGACTCAGTACTCCTCCAAGTAATACAAGGCTCGTAATCCAGTCTTCACAACATCGGTCTGCTGTAGTATTGCTCAGCAGTTATCACTATCTCCGTTTGCCTTGACTTTGTGCTCCAACAGCTTGTTTGCATTTTACTTCATGTACTGTAATTTAATGTAGGAAAGATGGCTGAGCGATGCTGATTTATGGAAAGATGGGGATCAAGATTCCTGTTCTATAGTCTATATTTATGAAAGAACATTTGTGGGATGCATACACAAATCCTCAGGGCAACAATACACCCCGACTGAGGTAAGGGTCATGTTTTGTTCATCATTACATCTCTAGTTATTAACACTTCCTAGCACATGGAATATATTTACAGAGGACTTGATTCCTGGATGAAACAATTAATACTCCATACTCTCATTGTCAACAAGAGATTTTTAGCTTATAAACAAGACTGACAGTCCAGCCATATCAATCTGTTGTGTATATGGTGTTTACAGGTGGATTTCTATGTGTATAGCATTACATTAGGAGTGGAGAGAAAGGCAAGAAAATCACACACAAAATAGACTTTCTGAGTTTCTATGCTAGTTGAGTAGACCAGGTATGCACAAATGCCAACTTAATTCCTAACTCTAGAGGCAGAACGATGGCTGCAAAATACAACCACTACATGAGTTCAGAGAAGACACACTGCTACAGACTAGAGTCCTTAAAGAAAGTTCTTTAAACAAGTCAGGGAGAGCTTTGGGAGCAAAAAGTATAGGAGACAGAAAGGAAATGAGAGTACCCGAGGACCATGAAGAGGACATAAACAGCAAAGTCATACAAGACTTTGAGACTTTGACAACTTTTAGGAAGCAGTCATCTAACTTAAAAAGAAAGATGGTGGTAGCAATTAATACAGTAAGAAAAAAACAAGCAAGTGCATTCTGTACAACAATGGACACATCCCTAAACTGCTTGTTGGGAAAAGAAGCAGCATTAAAAGTTAGTCATGTTACATACATTGCAAAGGCTAAACAAATGCACGAGGCTCAAAGGCCCCTCAGTGCTCCCAGGTTTGGCAGAAGCATGTAGATTATGTTTATGCAGAGAGCAGATGTGACCTAGGTCTTTAGAGGAGCAGGCGGGGCGGGACCAGGGAAGACTTCAGACACGTTACTTGTGATGTAAACATACACATGACTTTCCCCAACTCTTAGCTGGCTTTAGGCCCTGTAGTAGCCTTTCTTAAATTATACCAAATTCTATTTGATTTGTATATTCAAAGGTATACAAATCTGGATCTAATCTGTGTCCACAATGTTTTACAAACAAGAATGAATGCATTGAACAGAAGTTTGTAATTTTTTCTTAAACATATGGAAAATAATTCCTGTCTCTAGAGACTCAGGGGTAAGTATTAAGAGCCTGAAGGAGAAGTGATGACAGTTGGTAAACATTTAAACACACAGGGAAGGAGCTTGGCTAGAGACCAGTGCTCGGAAATCACTATTAAGTAATCTTTACTGAAGTTAATGACTAACATTAGATAAAATCAACCATATATGGTGTCTATGTTAAAATGTATATAGAACAGATTTAGCAAAAATATTAAGCTTTTAATAAACATTTTCTTCAAAAATTATTTATAAGAGATGTTTAAACTTAATTCATCAATAGGATATTGATGAAATGAAATATTAGCTCCAGAGCATGTTTCTAAAACAAAGTGCATGCATGGATGTACTATGACATTTTAACCAACATTAATTAGATCCTCTTGATGTCTACTGTCTTCTAAAAAGCTAATACGACCTACACTACATCATGGTTAATGGGAGCATGGTGCTTGTTGCTTAGGCAACAGAATGAATAAATGCAGGTCAGAATGTGCTACCAGAAAAAACAAAGGCTAGAGTATGATACCAAATGGAAACTGAGCAGGTCTAACAGATTTTTACATTAGTGAAATCTGTTTCTTAAAGTGGGCCAGTCACAGTGTGCTTTAAGTTCAGCATTAGGTAGACAGTGGCAGCCAGGAAGTGATTACCATCAAGGCAGACATTGTTTTCTCACAATGTTGGTAGCTAATAAGTGACGTATGACAGCATGCAATGTACTAATTGATGACACCACTTCATGATTTGCTTCATTTTCACAATTAATTAGTCCTTCTACATGGTAAATCAAAACTGTTTTGTTTTTAAGTTCTGTCTCACGGTGAACGTCTTTGGCTCGTCTGAGCTAATAAGGTGATCTTATTTTCTGGAAGATTACATACAATACTTGGAAATAAATAGGTAAAACCACAATCTAGGATCAAACTTTAACCTTCCCACAGTGCTTGGGAATTTTGCCTTTTGGACACATTTTGTACATAATTCACATAAGACTGTTCCTCACTCTCTTTCCTCAAATACTTCTTTAAATCTAGAGTGATTACTTTCTAGTTAAATATGTTCAAAGAGGGATTACATTTTTCATAAGTGTTTAATATTCAGAGGAAAATTAAGCTGAATTAAAGTCATTCTGTGTGGCCAATTAACTCGGCAAACCTAAAACCCAACTTCTCACGGACCGGAATAAATTTGGACAAGGGCTTGGGACTGACATGACCATTTCAGGTAGAGGCAGGGGGAAAGAGTAGCTCTATAGAGATGTGCAGTCAATATAAGCAATGCTAAAATGATATTCATTTAGTTAGCTGGTTACTCTAGTTACTGCCTAAGTAAGACTTAAATCTGCTCAGGGCAGTAACAACTTCCATTTCTATCCTATTTCAACACCACAGTGTCTCGACTGTATAACCAGTGACTGTCTGGTAGACACAAGAAAAATCAAAGCATAGCTCATTATGAAAAACATAATAAGATCCTCATAAAGGATTATATGCATACACTACTTAATGTTCATTTGATGAGCCACATTTATGCATTTTTTTAAAACCTTGTAGGCATAGACATTTTTGTTGGAGTGGAAGTTTAACAATCTTAACCTTCAAATCTGTAATAATTCAGCCAAGTTTGGAGAAAAACAATCTCAAAAAAAAAGCCCTGAAAAGATCTGAGTAGCACTCAGTGTTTTCCGATGCTGCTGCAGGTGTTAGCCCCAGCATTTTCTCTCAGAGAAACTATTAAGTGTATCTATTAGCCACTGGTGTGCTACATGCTTTTGACATGTGGGGCTTCCTAAATGTAGGGATCAGTGACAAGTGTAATGGGACCTTACATGCAAAGAAAGGTGAGAAGGGCTGTGACGTAGCTTGTAGCTTAAAGGAGCTTAACAAGAGGAGCTGATGAGGACTGCAGGAGGTCTAGGAATGATTAGAAAACTAGATTGTCATTTGCACCCCTCCCTTCTTCCTCCTCCTCACCTATTTGCACAGTGAGAAGTTTGCACACACCCGGTTTGCACTGAACAGAGAACAGGACTTGGAAGCCCATCAGTGCATTTGGTACATCTGCCCCTTTCTGTACACTGACAGCTAACTGACCCCAGTGTTTGCTTCTCACCTAAAGTGACAAACAATACTTCATCGCTCTTCAGTCGGCTTGTGGAAGGAAGTGCATGCTCTCGCTAATCGACTGGCTGAAGCAGCTAGCTAATGAAGGGTCGTCCACAGGCTTTAAACTGCTTATTGAGTGATTAGCAGGAAAAATGATCTTCATACCATCAACAGAGCGAATTGCCTAATTAATCACAAATGCTGATGTGCAAGTGAAATAACAGGTCTCTGAAATCCAGATTTAGCTGAAGCGTGGTATAATCTAATTGTATGCTAAGACCACAAATTTATAGGGGGAAAATCACACAAAGAATGACATGGAGAATATAAATGTTAATCTTCTTTCAGAGCCTATAAATAGAGCTCTCACCAATTCATACAACACACATGTCTAATGGATGCATATAGATCCCATTTTCTAGTCAGCGTTTATATGCACACAGTAAGTTTGCTGTAAAGGCATCCAATTTTCTGATGCAGTTAGATATATAAAGCTGATCCATTTCCGTGCAAATCAGGCTGCCTCTAAGCCATGTAAGACACATAAGAAGCAAAGACAGACAAAAGGCAGCTCCGTGGACACAGAGAGCATCTTACCATAAACTGTACATTGTCAAATCCATTAGCCATCAGGTGGTTCTCGTACTGAGGTAGCCCAATGCTTTCCAACCATTGTCCCACAGTTTGGACAGGGCATCTGGGTCCTGTAAGAGGGTGAAGAGGGAAGCGTTTTAGCAGGGAGTAGCCGTCCACGGGGTAATAGCGGTAGTCCTGGGCTGAGAGGTGGCATTGCCACATCATGCTCCTGGGAAAGTTGTTATCAAAGGAGCCCGCCAGCTTGACAGATTAATGTTCTCAGCGAGAGAGCAAAGTCAGAAGTAAAACATAGTTTGCCAGGCAGGCTGTGGAGTATGACTTGATCCTAGCTCCACATTTCTTACATATTAATCTTCACTACCGACCAGTGCGTCATACAGCCCCCAAAACCAGGCAGGAGAAGAAGGCATAGCAAGCTGTCAGCCTAGGCTGCTCTGCGCTCTATGTGACTGTTGGAGTACTCCACAATGAGCAATGCGCGGCCAGCAGCCAGAATTCTTTTTATCAAGTACTCCTACACTCATCAGTATGCAGCTCCATGCTCCTTGCTCCCCCTCGCTCGCTCCCCTTCATTACCCAGCCCAGGCTACACCTCGCATTTTCAATAATAGCCATCAGATAAGGCAGATTTTTTTTTTTTGTCTGCAAAGCTGTAAGCCTGCTGCTGCTGCTTCCTCCTACACACCCATCCAAGCGTCAATCTTGAATGACGAGAGCAGTCAAAACAAATGCAGAAAATAGCAAGACTCAAAAGCAAACCAAAGTGCTTAAATCTGAATCGAATCTTCGTCCCGGTTATACATTACCGAGCTATTTGTTGTGGGATTTTACGTTTCAAAAGACACCAGGAAATGCGAAGCTTGAACAGCTCAGAACGAGGTTCACCACAGGTTCCCTCTCCCCTTTCCTTTCTCGCCTTTCTCCCTTTTCAAAAGCATCAGGGGGAACTGTTTCTGATTGAAAGCTTCGCTGTGCAATTATTCTCCTTCTTTACCATGCAGTATCAAAGTGAACCTCTTGGGATTTTTTTTTTAATTTTTGAATTACTGCAACATATAGAATCTGCATTATAATCTGCAAGTCAAGATAATTCATTCCCGGTTTGTTCTTACCAAGGCACAAGAAGAGCCTTTCCCCCTCTGGTATATATTTATAACTTTATCTACCAGGCATCTCATTCTAAAATATCTATAAAGGTAACATTAACTGGGTAGAATTTTTTTTTTTTAATAAAGAAGAGCCCTAACCAAAAATAATTCAAGAATAACAGATGCAAGTGTGTGAGTTTTACTGAATGGCAGACAGACTGAGTAATTTATTTAATAATTGAGAAAAACCACAGGTTAATAATAGAACCTGCAGAACTACTTCATCAGAGAAGAGACTTGAGGCTTGGAGAGAACTCTCAGAAAGCCTAGACTGGCCCTCATCCTCAGGAAGGATGTTGCCTGGGTGTTCCTGGAAGACACCTCTGCTTGAATGCTGTCTATGACAGGGATCTCACCACCCAGCCAAAGCCTCCGTTCATTAGAGCAATATTTTACTTCCTACCTAACTCCCACTCTCTGGCTCCAGCTCTGCCTTTGGAGTCACACAGATTGGGAACAGAGCCTCTTCCACATAAAGTACTTTAAAAGTAAAGATAACTCTCACACTACCCACCCCACCCTGCGCTGGACCGCGGCTAGCACCCCGTATGTGCCCAACTAATATAGTTGGTATTTCATTTAGTATAGTTCATTTAGTTGGTAAATGAAACCTTCATCCTTCTTCTTTCTTTAACTCTCACCTTTCTCTGTTTCTTTTCTTAGTTGAAGGCCATTGCCAATCTCCTTGGCATATAGACATTTAACCTCTAAACAGTATGCACCCTTCTTCTACTGCTGACACTGATCTCTGAGCTCCCCTTTACCTCTGCTGTTTCTTGTTTATGGAACTGCCATTTCCTCTGATTTTGTGTTCTTTGTTCCTTGGTACTTGGCCCAGTGTAACCATGCCACTACACTGGTCTTCAAACCCTGCTATATTTTTAATCCTTAAAAATGTTTCATTTGTTGTGTGTGTGCACGTGCACACGCGTGCACACACACACACATCACAGTGTGCACATATGGAGGTCAGAGGACAACCTGAACGAGTCTGTTCTTTGCTTTCACCACACAAACTTAATCAGGCGTGACAGCAAGTGCCTTTGCCCACTGAGCCCTTTCTTGCCCTCCCACCCGTGGTATTTTTAAAAAATCTAATTTATAAACAGTGTCAGAATAATCTAAGACACAGCCTTGGTAACTAACCCTCATTTCAAAACCAGGCTGTGGCTTCCTGATGGATTAAAAATGAACTCTCAACTCTTGGTGATATTTTTGGGTTTTCATCTAGCTTTATTGACCTTTTCTCAACACCCCGTTTACAGTTCTTAACCAGGGTAAATTTTTGTTGGTCTCTGAAAGAAGGTTGAAATATGTGTGGTAGGTTTTATTACAACCCTACAACTCTGCCATTTCCCTTATGAAACCTCTTGTCAGCCTCCCAAATAGAAAAAAATTCTTTTTTTTCTCTCTTTAATGGCATATTTAGACCTTCTACTATAAAAAATATTTTCTAACTTATACAATCATTGTATGTGTCTAAGACTTGTTTCTTGAAAGCAGGGGCTATGTTTTCCTCATACTGTACATTGTATGCATTCAGACTGTCCTTGATAATCAACAGGACATAATCTCATATTTAAACTACAAAAGTACCCTTATTTTTGGACTAAAAATTTTAACAGAATCATTTTGTTTTGTTGGATTTGAATACATTTTCTAAAAATGTACTCCAAGTATCTGATTTCTTTATAAAAAGGAGGTATCATGGCCCACAGACGAGGGAGCAGGAAGAACGTTTAAGAGCTGGAGGTAGCAGGTGCCTGTAACAAAACTGTTTCCCTGACATGACAGGCTGCTGTGCACATGAGCTCACAGTGCCTGCAACTGGGTGTACAAGACTTGCACAAGATCAAGCTCACCAACAACCCAGCCTGGATCAGGGAGGGCTGTGGCATCCTGCCACCTCCTAAGGAGCTCTTGGCAACTGATGGCTGCTGAGGGGGGAAGGGTCGGTTATCTTCAAGGGTGGAGCCCCTGAGAGGCTACCCATGATGCTGCAGATTGTCTGACACTCATGCACACTAAACAGACTTTAACAAGTAGGTTTAAAAGAGAGCATGTGAACTTGGAAAGGCATAGCAGTAGGGGGGAGGGGAGAAAAGGCAGATGGATTTTAGTCAAAGGCAGTGTATGGATGCATGAAATTCTCAAACAAAACAAGCCACTTAAGTTTTTGAAATAGAATTTTCAGGTTGGGGTATTTTTGTTGAGCATCTTCATCCTCTCAGTGAGGAAGCATGCCTGCGTGAATTGCACTGTACCTGATTATAATTCATCTCTTTTTGTGTCTAGATATTTTAAGAATGTCAAAAAAGTTATAGAAGTTAATGCGTCAACTATGGAAGAATGTAATTATACAGCATGACCTGCAGAAGAAGATGAAAGATTAGCTCTCAAGCTGTTCCCATGTGAAGTCAACAGTAGGCCTTACTTATCTGGTCATGAGATCCACTTACAGTGCTCTTCCTGGTCACTGTATGAGAAGGTAAGCCAGTTCTGTAAAAACTGAGTAAACATAACCAGGGTATATTTTTGTTTGGTAAGGCATATCCTGATTGGCTCACTCTTTAAATCCTAGCTCACCTTCTAAAATCCAAACCAATAACCAAGTCCCTAGTAAAAGGACTATTCAATTCGGAGGAATTAACTCATGCCCATTAAGTGAATGAATGAATGAATTAATAAATGAATAAATGAATGAATGACTCTGGAAATACTTTTTTTTTCCTTAACAAATAAAAAGGGAGAATAATTTTAAGACTTAGACTGTTGTCTAGAAATACCTCAGAGAGGTCATTGGTTATTATCCATTTTAAAAATTTTTATATAGACTTCCTGAATTGCATCATTTAAAAATTTTAATTTCTGTTTAGTAATTCTCATATGTTATCAAAATGCAGGGGGGAAGTGAACTGGGAGATGGTGAGACAAGAAAAGGATAGAGAGGAGGGACAGAGATCCTGAGTCATGTTGGTTTCTGATTTTGTTTTCTCATGAGTCAAACTTCTAAAGAATCCTGATTTAGGCCTGAAGATCACATTTGTATAGTATCTAAATATATTCTTCATTTTACTTAAAATACTTTCCTGGAGTCTTGAAATTCATGCAACACATTACTGAGCCAACACCTTTATTCAGTTAGGACCTTTGTAATTTCCCAAAGTGATATGCAAAAAAGGGAGAAGAGGGAGTGGGCTCAGGGCTATTGTGTCCTGACTGGTGGTGTGGCTTGTTGTCATTGATGCTAAGGAAACTGAAGCTCAGACTCTGTGACAGGACCTTCCAGGGACTTTGCTTTGGCACAGTCTTCTGAAAACATAATCCTAGGAACTCCACTCTCAGAAACAAGTATAATTGCTCAAAACTAGGTGTAGCAAAAAACAATAACAAACAAACAAACTCCAATACCCCCTCCCCCCCAAAAAAAAACAAACCACGGGAAGGTTCTACCAAGTGTTCTAAGAACACACAAAAGATGAAGAGATACTTATTTAAAACATTTTTAAGCTGGTGAGATCAGAAGGATTCTGTGGCTAGTTGGTGATGGCTGGCTCCCAATTTCCCTGTAGCAGAATCCTTTTCACAGACACTCTTTGTGTGAGCACAGGCAGGACAATGGGCACCTTCTTTCCCTAGCTCCCAGTCCACAGATAGGATGTGTCATCAGAACGGATAGGCCAGCCTTTCCAATCTCCTCCAAGCTGCAGAGGTTAAATTCCCAGTGAGGACAGTTACGAAGTCAGGCGCTTCCTTCATCTACCCTGCTCTCTGTCATGGGGTCTGGTCTACTAAGGTCTGGGTAGACCAAGAGCAGTGAGGCACTGTGCACTTACAGGGTACAGGTTCAATGCTTGAAAAGGTAATCAGAGAAGAAGAAAGGCCACCCCCACAGGCCATTGCTCACAAGGACAGCACAAGGCTTTTGTCTAAGGGGAGGGTCATTCCTAACAAATCTA